TGGTTGGATACAGTGTTGCAGGATAGTTTGTATAGATCTGGTTGGATACAGTGTTGCAGGATAGTTTGTATTGATCTGGTTGGATACAGTGTTGCAGGATAGTTTGTATAGATCTGGTTGGATACAGTATTGCAGGATAGTTTGTATAGATCTGGTTGGATACAGTGTCGCAGGATAGTTTGTATAGATCTGGTTGGATACAGTGTCGCAGGATAGTTTGTATTGATCCATTTGGATACAGTGTCGCAGGATAGTTTGTATTGATCCATTTGGATACAGTGTTGCAGGATAGTTTGTATAGATCTGGTTGGATACAGTGTCGCAGGATAGTTTGTATTGATCCATTTGGATACAGTGTTGCAGGATAGTTTGTATAGATCTGGTTGGATACAATGTCGCAGGATAGTTTGTATTGATCTGGTTGGATACAATGTCGCAGGATAGTTTGTATTGATCTGGTTGGATACAATGTCGCAGGATAGTTTGTATTGATCTGGTTGGATACAGTGTTGCAGGATAGTTTGTATTGCTCTGGTTGGATACAATGTCGCAGGATAGTTTGTATTGATCTGGTTGGATACAGTGTTGCTGTGTTGGTAATAATATTCCGTGTCGGTGTTTACCTGTCATTTCCCCACCACCCTGATACCCTGAATAGTCCGGGCCGACTGAGGTGGTCATACGACTAGAACATTCCAATTGTATTTCACTTGACTTTTTCCAACTTTATGTCCCCCCCTTTTATTTTTATTTTTTTACTGACAGCCCCTTTTGGAACTGTAGGCAATTGTGACGTTAATACTCATACCATGTCATGAGAATATTGGTAGGTGATGGGAATCCAGTGGCAGGTTTTATGGTGCTGTTAGTTGGTTGGAATAGAGAACATTCCCAGGAAGAAGGAATCTCCATGTACTAATCTCTTTCCTGGACCATTTAGGGCCCATTCACAGCAGCATGTGTTGGACTGTACTGGGTATGCTATGTGTTCACACTGCTGACGTGTTGCATTTTTCTACTGCATGCTGTGACACACTACACCACAGCACAACATACCACATACATGAAGAAGAGGGAAATGTCAGATTGCAACATGACAATAAAGTTAGAAAAAGGTAAACAGTGTGATGCATTATAATCAGCACGTCATTCTGTTGCCTTCAGGTCAGTGGCCCCGGGGTAACACAGTCTGCTGTAATGAGGTCACGTTGTTCATTACTTTGAAGGGAATTGGGATAACCTGTACCTTGGATTTGTTACACGTTCGCATTCATATGGAATACCTTTTAATGAATGTTTACAGATGGCTGCTTATTTCTTCACTTGCTGATAAATCCTACTTGGCTTTCCTCTACTGTGTATGGGGGCTGGGCAGTTATGTTTTTACGTAATTAAAGGGCACCTACACTCTGAACTCCCTCCCCAGACGGACTTCTTCTGCGTGCTAGGCTGTAGCCATCTTCATTGGCCAGCGCATGATGACGTCAGGATCTGTGCCAGAATGCAGACTGAGCTGCACATGTATACAGTGAGCAGGCAGGTAGGTGTATTATATCGCACAAAAGACATTGCATGCCTCTTCTGCAGTAAAGAGCCTGCCTGCTCCAAGAGTTTTAATTAAAGCCTTGTCTGTACTGTGCTGGCAGGTGTTTATTATCAGTTGTAAGCTAGATGTGCAGGGCTGGCTGTCCTAATAAAGGTCTGGAGGCTTTTTCAAATCAAGACAAGGAGTGATGTGGGGAGGAGAGGCTCCATTTTCAGTCAGCCACTCAAATGAATGGGCTACCTAATGCACAAAAAAGGTGCATGCAGTATTTTCTGTTTCAATATTTTTATTAATAAAGTTTTGTTTTAGGAACACAACAAGCTCAATATACGCTCACGCAGGGGAGCGAGCCTAACAATAACACAGAAACAGATACATCCTGCTGACTTGTATTAGCCAAATGTCCAATGACAGCGAAGAAGAACGGCAAAAAGCCGAGCCAAATATTATCAGCAGTAGCCCAGCATAATACTATAAAGAGAAGAGGAAAGAAAAAAGGTTAGAAGAAAGGAAAAAGAAAATAAAAATGACAAAAAATAAAAAAAAGAAATCAGAAAGAAAACAGAGAGGAAAGGGAGACTAGGAGGATCACGGATCCAGGGCTAGCACAGGCAGCAACTACAAGAGGCCATAACTAGTAGGAGGCAGGGATGGCAAGGAATATCGTATCCAAGGTTCCCAAAACTGAAGGAATCTCGGATGAGAATCATGAAGAATTGTAGACATCTGTTCATTGATCAACATATCATTCATCCGGGTGTTCACCCCTTGGAAGGCAACCGAAGGGGTTCTCCAAGCTTGAACTATGGCACGTTTGGCCGAAATAAATTTGTAGGATGCCAATTTCTCTGCTGAGACCTAGACAGACCCAAAATTGGGCAATGCAGGAGGGCCACCCTTGCATCCCTACAGACCGTAATGTGAAATAGCGTTTGTAGCAGATAAAAAACCCAAGACCAGAAGCCGATCAATCGCGGGCACGACCACCAAATGTGAAAGACGTCCCCACGTAGGCGCATGCAGTATTTTCGGCAGTGTGCCTTGTGCTACATTGAGGAAGTGCATCGGCATGCTGTTCAGAATGATGTAGCATCGCATTAGACCAGTGCATGGTACCACAACACAGCATGTGGACAAGGCCTTATACCCTGTACACACTATAGGAAAATCGTATGAGGACCGATCGTCCGATAATCGGATCGTTAGTACACAGCGAGGACCGATCGTCTGATAATCGGATCGTTAGTACACAGCGCGATCGTCGATAATCGGATCGTTAGTACAAGCGAGGACCGATCGTCCGATAATCGGATCGTTAGTACACAGCGAGGACCGATCGATCGTCCGATAATCGGATCGTTAGTACACAGCGAGGACCGATCGATCGATCCGATAATCGGATCGTTAGTACACAGCGAGGACCGATCGTCCGATAATCGGATCGTTAGTACACAGCGAGGACCGATCGTCCGATAATCGGATCGTTAGTACAAGCGAGGACCGATCGTCCGATAATCGATCGTCCGATAATCGGATCGTTAGTACACGAGGGCGAGGATCGGCGATCGTCCGATAATCGGATCGTTAGTACACAGCGAGGACGATCGTCCGATAATCGGATCGTTAGTACACCGATCGTCCGATAATCGGATCGTTAGTGCACAGCGAGGACCGATCGTCCGATAATCGGATCGTTAGTACACAGCGAGGACCGATCGTCCGATAATCGGATCGTTAGTACACACAGCGATCGACCGATCGTCCGATAATCGGATCGTTCGTTCACAGCGAGGACCGATCGTCCGATAATCGGATCGTTAGTACACAGCGAGGACCGATTGTCCGATAATCGGATGTTCGTACACAGCGAGGACCGATCGTCCGATAATCGGATCGTTAGTACACAGCGAGGACCGATCGTCTGATAATCGGATCGTTAGTACACGGCGAGGAGCGATCGTCTGATAATCGGATCGATAGTACACAGCTTTCCAGAGCCGATCACGACAATTCATGCGACCATATCCGAAGGGACAAGCACGAACAATTTTCTCGTACGATACCAGATCATACAATTTTCGTTTAATCAGTACAGTAGTTGTCCGAAAATACAAATACAATACATGACATCACTTTCAAAATTCTTTTCTTTCATAGGAGAATTTTTGTATCTTTAGTAACCTAGTGACTAGCAGGCGAAAAAAAAAACAAAAACTGGCGATCGTCCGTCCGATATTCTCATCGTGTGTGCGGGGCTTTAGGGTTTGTTTAGACAGGTGGCAGTTCCTACTGCCTCTCTGAAAAGTCATCTGCATTGGATCACTTTTCAGAGGGCAGTAGATCAGTGGCTGCCAGGCATTCAGGAGGTGATACTGGCGACTTTTGGATACCTTTTTTAATTTAGATTTTGTTTTTCAGCCAAAGGGAATATTGTGCCGTAGCTGCCAACCATGTGTTTGGCCCACTGTCGCAGCACAGCCCTGTGCACCTGTATGGGTTGCGTTTTGGCGGCGGTATCGCCCTCCTCAGTGGCAGGTGGTATCATTTTTGCTGTGTTACAACCATGACAATGCCTATTACCGTGACCCGTGAACATTCTACTTTGTGGTTGGGCCATCAAGGGGGATAGAAGTGCTGCTCAGCTACACCCACCCCTCACCCGTCTGTTTAAATGTGGCCTTGGTGAGCTTCCAGCCAGAGCCTGTTTGAGGTTGTGGTTGCAGTGTAGTGTTTACATGCTCGCTCTTCCATATTATTGTTATTGCATTCTTCTTACAGATTTTTAGATTAGACTCTAGAGACAAGAAAGATCAACCACTCCAATGAGTGCTGTACTGAACAGCTGCTGAGATTAGATATCTGCTATACAGGCAAAGCATTGTTTTAATTGAGTCCGCCAACACATAGGCAGTGTAGGAAGTAGCAGTAACATCACCATTGTGTAGTACAGCAAAGCAAAATGCCGAGCTTGCATATGTAATGAGCAAATATGGCTGCCCCCATGTGCAGAAAAAGTGACACCCTATTCACAGAAACATACTACAGCAGGGCTTAACATTTCAAGTCCTGAGCTACTAGCCAGGCCTTAGAGTTACTCGCCACCAACAAACACACACAAACAGAGACACCTGTACACACACACAGACATGTACATACACACACAGAAACATGTACATACACACAAACATGTACACACATGCACAGAGACAGATGTACACACACACAGACATGTACATACACACACAGAAACATGTACATACATACACACACAGAAACATGTACACACACGCACAGAGACAGATGTACACACACATACAGACACATGTATACACACACAGGGACGTACAGACACGCATACACACAGATACATGTACATACACAGAAATGCATACGCACAGACACATGTACACACACACACACACGTACGTACATACACGCACACACACGTACGTACATACACACACACACATGTACGTACATACACACACACATGTACATGCACACAGACACATGTACACATACATGTACATACAAGCAGACACATGTACAGATACACACATGTACATACACACAGACACATGTACAATTGTACATGCATACACAGACACACACAAAAACACACACATGTACACGTACACACAAACACACTCTAAAAAGTTGCAGTACTTCGCTGCTCACTCACAGAGCCGGGTACTGCACTCTAGGGGGAGGCAGAGAGCACAGCACACACCCCTTGCTTTGCTTTCACTGCGCTCAGCTACTGAGCGGTCTGACGGCTCCCAGTGCCAATGACAGATCCGGCCTGAGCTCCGAGCCTGCTCAGGAAGACAGCCCTGGGGGACACGCTTGCCCCCACCTTAATTTCCACTTGCCATTGGCGAGCAGTCGAGTGGAAATTTCAAGCCCTGCACTAAATCATAATGATGTCTTTTCCATTCAAAAGGATATAAATCCCATTTGAACCTTCAAAGTCAGGAACATCCAGGCACAGCTGGGAACCATAGGAAAATGCCAGGATTTTCAGATTTTGTCCCTGGATGTATTGCAGTGGTTTGTATAGATGCGGCATCATCCACAGCGTTAGGTAGTGGCTTACAGCGGCTGTAGCTTTAATGTACCGAAATACAGAAACAAGAACTGTAGGGATAAACGGAGCAGGGATAGAAATAAAAGTTGACGTGGTTGTAAAGGCAGAAGGTTATTTTTAACCTTAATGCATTCTCTGTATTAAGGTAAAAAGCTTTCAACCCCCCCCCCCCCCCTCAATCTGAGCCCAATCTCGATCCAGCACTGTGCCCAAGAGCAGCATCCCTCTCCGCTCTCTCCCTTGTCACCGGATACAGAGGAAGCAGCGGGAGCCATTGGCCCCTGCTGCTGTCAATCACAGCCTCTGAGGAGGAAGCAGAGGTAGGGCCAAGAAGTGTCAATGGACACACAGAGCCTGGCTTGGGATTGAGCCTGCATGAGTGCCCCCATAGGAAGCTGCTTGCTATGAGTGCACTCGGAAGGGAGCAGGAGCCAGGAGTTCCGGGATGGTGCCCAAAAGAGGAGGATCGAGGATGTTCTGTACAAAACCACTGCACAGAGCAGGTAAGTATGACATGCTTGTTGTTTAAAAAAAAAAAAAAAAAAGTAATTTTACAATCTCTTTACGGAAAGACCTATTTATGAATGCTGGTCAGCTTTATGGTTCACATCTGTGCGGGTTGTGCCGCTACAGATCCGCACGAAAATCCACGCACCCGCACAGAGAAATGCAGACCCACGGTTTGTGCGATTACTTCTAATGGCACGCCGCCTGTACTGGTAATCGCAACCGTACTGGGAACCACGGTTCCCGTGTGGGCTGCGTTTTCAGAAGTGCAGAGACTTCTTCCCTGCGTGTCTCGGGCACAGGAGTCCATTCAAATGAATGGGCTGTCGTCCCATTGAGAACCGGGGCTCAATGAACTCTTCAGTTCCAGATTGGCTATATTCAACACAGATCTTTGGGGAGTACTGACTGTTGCTTTATACCAGCTACTAGCAGACTTTAGTAGGGTTTTACCAAACTTCTCATAGTGCTGACGTTTACTGGAACCGCTTGTTTATAGGAACAGTCGGTGCTCCTGATATGCTCGGTGTGACTTTACAGTGTAATGCAAGGTCTGTGGATACTGTCCAGGCACCTTCTATAGGGAGAGTATTCGACTCCATTCATGTATGCGATTACCTGCAAGAGACTCAGCGCAATTCCCTGCAATTAGATCCATGGGAGACAACAGCCGGCTGTTCGCTTGCGCTCACTCTTGCAGCGATTACCTGTGGATGATCAGTCAGTCTTCAGGGCCTTTCATCTGTAGGTAATCGCTCCTTGAGCAATCATATGTGAACAGCCACTAACAGCCGTGGGCGCTGTCGGTCTCACTTTGCTCCCCATCTACAAGGGACTCAGCGGGATTCCCTGCAATTAGCTCCATGGGAGACAACAGCCGGCTGTTCGCTTGTGATCACTCTTGCAGCGATTACCTGTGGATGATCAGTCCGTCTTCATCCAGGGCCTTTCATCTGTAGGTAATCGCTCCTTGAGCAATCATATGTGAACAGCCACTAACAGCTGTGGGCGCTGTCGGTCTCTGTTTGTTCCCCATCTACAAGGGACTCGGCGGTATTCCCTGCAATTAGCTCCATGGGAGACAACAGCCGGCTGTTCGCTTGTGATCACTCTTGCAGCGATTACCTGTGGATGATCAGTCCGTCTTCATCCAGAGCCTTTCATCTGTAGGTAATCGCTCCTTGAGCGATCATATGTGAACAGCCACTAACAGCTGTGGACGCCGTCGGTCTCTTTTTTCTCCCCATCTACAGCTAATCTCAGACTGAGTCTGTCACGGAACATCAAGAACAGCCCCATTCGCATATGTGAGTGGAGTTTAATACTTGACCTTACACCTGTTTTCTGCATCACAAGGTGCAATGTCACCTTCTGCCAAGATTCCTGGGACGGTCCTTGTAGAACTTGCTGTACACACTGCTCTTCTGTTGAAGTCTGTGTGACATATTGTGACATCTGCTCCAGGATACGTTATTTGGAGCAAAGTACCATGGTACCTACTTTTACAGCTCCGAGATAATTGACTTTATTGCCCCTGGCCTGCCTCCATGAACCATGAGTAATCTAGTAATATGTATCCAGCTTTTCAGTTTACAAAGCAATCCATGAACCATTGACACTAAACGGTTGTTGTAGTTTTATAGATGTTCCTCATTGGGTTCAACTTTGCACTCTGGGTCCTGTGGTGCCACAGCAGCCAAACGATGTTTGCTTAGTGCCGCACCCACATTGTCCGAGGCGCACTGAGAACAGAGCAGTTTCGATGAACATTCCCACCCGTCTTCAGTGCTGAGAACGAATGTTCTCCTGTGGACTGGACCAGTGGAGTAACAGCAAGCCCACGGGACTGTAGACAGCCATACCAGGAAAGCTGGGACCTTTATAGTCAATTAAAGACGTGATGGCATGTAGCTGGTTCTGTAGGTTGCATAGTGGGGGTCCTTTGAGAAATCTCTTTATACCACAATACATTTGTAATGTTAGATATAGCATTCTCTTTTGGCTGTGTCATTTCAGTTCTGCCTTCTTCAATGTATTATTATATCACACAGAGTATGACGTTCTTGTATTTTGGAATTCTCATGCAATGGCTGATGTTGTCCTGTACTGTGTAATACTCTGCCTTGCTGTATGTCTTTGTATAGGATATAAAGTCCACCGTTCTAACCAGATGTGCTGTATAATTGCAGTGTATTTCTTTTATTACTATTATTATTACTACGAGTTTATATAGCGCCAAAGGGTTTGCTCAGCGCTGTACAATAGGGGGGACAATACATGGCACAGTACAACAACAACAAACAACGTACGAGGGGTAAGAGGGCCCTACTCTTACGAGCTTACAATCTAGGAGGGAGGGGGTAAAGGTACAGTAGGAAGTGGCTGAGGGGGATGAAGTGGTGGGAGGAATGAGGGAGGATGGCCGTTAGGTGAGGGTGGGGTAGGCTTCCCTGAAGAGATGGGTTTTGAGGGAGCGCCTGAATGTGAATAGGGAAGGCGACAGTCTGATGGATTGGGGCAGTGAGTTCCAGAGGATGGGGGAGGACCTGGAGAAGTCCTGCAGTCGTGCATGGGAGGAGGAGACCAGGGAGCAGGATAGAAGGAGGTCCTGTGAGGAGCGAAGGGTACGGGTAGGGTGGTACTTGGTGATCAGGTTGGTGATGTAGTCAGGGGCAGTGTTGTGAACGGCTTTGTAGGTCAGGGTTAGGAGTTTAAATTTGATGCGTTGGGCAATCGGGAGCCAGTGGAGAGAGAGGCAGAGGGGGGTGGCAGAGGTGGAGCGGGTGGTGAGGTGGATGAGTCTGGCAGCTGAGTTCAGGATGGTCTGGAGCGGGGAGAGCCTGCACTTGGGTAGGCCAGTGAGGAGGGAGTTGCAGTAGTCAAGGCGTGAGATGATGAGGGAGTGTACTAGAAGATACTAGAAGTGTACTACTAGATTTCTTTGAGTTCTTTTGATCTTCTGTGTTGCTGTAATAATATCCGTGTAGTATTACTATTCTTCTTTTTATTCCTGGAGCTGTGTTGATTTTTACACAAGCTACTTGTAGAATTGTAGGGATGTAGTTGTCTGGGAGCAGCTCCTCGAAGCCCTGAGATGGTCCACAATTCACCCAACAAGTACATCTGTTCATTGTAGTCTAAAGAAACACTATATGGCCAAACGTTTCAGGACATCCAACCATTACATCTGTATGATTTTGGTGGATAAATCTTGGGCATGGATATGGAGTTGGCCCCTGATGCAGCTCTAGCAGCCTCCCTCTTCTGGGGGGGACTTTCCACAAGAATTTGGGGTGAGCCTGTAGGAGTTTTTGGTCCTTCAGCCAAAGGAGTATTTGTAAGGTCAGGTAGTGATGTTGGATGAAAGGGCACAATGGAAGTCGGTCATAGATGGATCGAATCTCAGTCAGTTCTGCAGGGACCGGCAAAGATTTCATCAATTCCATCAGCTATGTTTTTGTTTAGTAATGTGATTTTGTTTTGCTCCACTTACCTCATTGTAGGTTGGGGGGGCCGTCTTGGTGGATAAATCTTGGACATGGATATGGAGTTGGCCCCTGATGCAGCTCTAGCAGCCTCCCTCTTCTGGGGGGGGACTTTCCACAAGAATTTGGGGTGAGCCTGTAGGAGTTTTTGGTCCTTCAGCCAAAGGAGTATTTGTAAGGTCAGGTAGTGATGTTGGATGAAAGGGCACAATGTAAGCCGGTCATAGATGGATCGAATCTCAGTCAGTTCAGCAGGGGCCGGCCAAGATTCCATCAATTCCATCAGCTATGTTTTTGTTTAGTAATGTGATTTTGTTTTGCTCCACTCACCTCATTGTAGGTTGGGGGGCCATAAACAGTCAGATGTCTCCCCCAAGAACATGACAGCACAAGTGCCCTATCCTACTACCTATGGGGGGGGGAGAGCCATCCCTTCAGCTTTGTGACCCCTTTACAACTACCTAAAACCGGCCATAGATGGATCGAATCTCAGTCGGTTCAGCAGGGACCGGCCAAGACTCCATCAATCTATGGACAGGCTGGTTGTACTGAAGTCAATCCATCAATTTCATTACAATCAGCCTGTCGGATTTTATTCTTTTTTTTTTTTTTTTGTGATTACTGCTGGCAGCTATAACCACCAGCAGTTATCATTGTATTCTGCCGGTAGGGACTGCTCCCTGCCTACAGAACCACAATAGTGCTGCGGAAGGGATTCCCTTATCAACACTGACTGTGCTGATGGGGGGGGGGGGGGGGGATCAAACAAATTGCATCATCTATGGGCTGTTTTGCAGTCCGCCTTCCACTTCATCCCAAAGGTGGTTGGTCCGATTGAGGTCAGGG